TGAAGTGTAATTTACCTTCATCAGCTTGGGGACATGCTATTTTGCATGCAGCAAATTTAATTCGGCTTAGACCGACTGCATATCATGAATATTCCCCAATGCAATTAGTTACTGGACAAGATCCAAACTTAGCACACATAAAAATATTTGGTTGTGCTGTTTATGTTCCGATTGCTCCACCTCATCGTACAAAAATGGGTCCTCAAAGAAGGTTGGGAATTTACGTTGGATTTGAATCTCCCTCAATAATCAAATATCTTGAACCGATGACTGGTGACTTATTCACCGCACGGTTCGCTGACTGTCATTTCAATGAGACAGTATTCCCAACCTTAGGGGGAGAAACTAATAAATCGGACCCAAGTACGAAAGAAATAACATGGAATGCAACAGGATTATCACACCTTGATTCTAGATCAAATATATGTGAGCAAGAGGTGCAAAAGATAACACATTTACAAAATGTTGCAAATCAGTTGCCTGATGCATTCACAGACACAAAGAAAGTGACAAAGTCACATATTCCTGCTATGAATGCCCCTGACAGAATTGAAATTCCAGCGGAGAATTCTGAAAACTCTCTTGCAAATGATTCTTCTATACGCAAAAAGCGTGGCAGGCCACTTGGATCAAAAGACATAAAACCAAGAAAGACTAAAAGGCAGGAATTGATCTGTGATGCCAAAGATGTTCATCCTTCTGAACAAGAAAATGAACAATTTGAAAATACTGGCATAGAAAATGATATTGACAAAACAAACATCTCAAATAATGATTCAACTTCCTTAAATGAGGAAGATATTCCAGATACTGATAGAAACGTTGATAATTATGAAATTTCAATAAATTACGTTTCTACTGGAATGCAGTGGAATCGAAAAGATATTGATATTAATGAGATATTTGTCTATGCCGTTGCCACAAATGTTATGAATGAAAACAATGACAATGAGCCAACATCAATAGAAGAATGTCGGAAACGACACGATTGGCCAAAATGGAATGAAGCTATTCAGGCTGAATTAAAATCACTTGAAAAACGTGATGTTTTTGGACCGATAGTCCCTACGCCAAAAGGCGTAAAACCTGTGGGTTTTAAATGGGTATTTGTGCGTAAACGCAATGAAAAGAATGAAATTGTTAGATATAAAGCCCGACTTGTTGCCCAAGGTTTTTCTCAAATGCCGGGAATTGATTATGAAGAAACCTATTCTCCAGTAGTGGATACAACTACATTAAGGTTTCTCATTGGCATGTCTGTTTTTGAAAGGCTGCAAATGCGCCTAATGGATGTAGTGACCGCATATTTATACGGTTCACTTGGTACAGACATTTATATGAAAGTTCCCGGTGGATTTAAAATGCCTGAAGCTTATAGCTCGAAACCCCGAGACATGTTTTCCATTAAATTACAAAAGTCATTGTATGGACTAAAACAATCTGGACGAATGTGGTATAATCGTCTCAGTGAATACCTTCTCAAAGAAGGATATAAGAATGATCCGATTAGTCCATGTGTTTTCATTCGGCGATCAAATTCGGGATTCGCCATAATTGCAGTATATGTTGATGACTTAAATATTATTGGAACTCCCGATGAAATTGAAAATACTGCAAAATATCTTATGAAAGAATTTGAAATGAAAGATCTCGGGAGAACCAAATTTTGTCTCGGACTTCAAATTGAGCATTTGAAGAATGGAATTTTCATCCACCAATCCAATTACACCGAGAAAGTGTTGAAGAGATTCTATATGGACAAAGCTCATCCTTTGACTTCACCAATGGTCATTCGATCTCTCAACATACACGATGATCCATTCCGTCCACGAGAAGACGACGAAGATATACTCGGTCCCGAAGTACCATATCTGAGTGCTATCGGAGCTTTAATGTATTTAGCTAATAATACTAGACCAGATATTGCATTTTCTGTAAATTTATTAGCTAGGTACAGTTCATGCCCAACAAGACGTCATTGGAACGGGATCAAACACATATTCCGTTATCTCCGTGGTACAGTTGATCTCGGCCTATTCTACCACAAAGATGCAAAAGCTTCTTTAATCGGATATGCAGATGCTGGATACCTATCAGATCCTCAAAAGGCAAAATCACAAACCGGGTACGTATTTACTTATGGTAATACCGCAATCTCTTGGAGATCTATGAAACAGACGTTGACAGCTACATCATCAAATCATTCGGAGTTAATTGCACTTTATGAAACCGGGAGGGAATGCGTGTGGCTGCGATCTATGATTCAACACATCCAAAATGAATGCAGTATAAAGCCTATTACTTGTCACCCGACTGTGATATATGAAGACAACACCGCATGCATAGCTCAAATTAAAGAGGGCTATATCAAAGGAGACAGAACAAAACACATATCACCAAAATTCTTCTCTACTCATGATCTGGAGAAAGATGGGACGATCAACATTCAACAAATCAGATCAAATGAAAATCCAGCCGATCTCTTCACCAAATCTTTACCCCCGAAGAAGTTCACAGAACTTGTACAGAAAATCGGCATGCACCGCCTTCAAAATTTATGTTAATTTCAGGGGGAGTATTTGAATGCACTGCACTCTTTTTCCCTTCATCAGGTTTTTATCCCACTGGGTTTTTCCTGATAAGGTTTTTAACGAGACAGTACATCCAAATACAACGACATTATATGTTGTAATCTTTACCCCTTAATTTTCAAACTAATTTTTCATAATAACAAAATAACTATTGAAGGATGAACATTCAAGGGGGAGTGTTGTAAAATCATCAAAATGACATGTGTGAATGTCCATCCTTGTAATCAGGACACTAATCAAATTCTCATCCTTGTAATAGGACAGATGTACAGGTTTAATATTGCCAGCAGAATGTGTAGAAATTCTCCCTGATGATTCATCACCAAGCCCAACTAGTATAAATAGGACTTGATCAAACCCTTGTAAATTCATTCAGAAATTCAGATACTCAGAAATTCCAGATATTAAGAAGAAGTAATTTAGAGGTTTTTATCTATATATCTATCTCTTAATCTATTCTGCATCTTCTTCATTTCACAACAAAAAGGACTATTCTGTTTGAAATAAAAGCTCTTTGTACACACAAAAGTGTACACGCTTGTACACACTATAAATAGAGGAAAAAGTTACTCTCTTTTTTAACCCTTTTCCCCTTCCCTCTCATCTACCTTTCTTCTGCACCCTTACTTTTCCATGCTTCCTCCCTCGGTCTCATTCCCCTTTCAAAAACTCTCCCATTACAATTCTCCATTGACACTTTCCAATTATGATGGGTCCGTATTCTTCTTTTTTTTCCTGCGACCGCAATCTTCCTTCTTCTCTTAAGTTTCCTTTCAACTGTGACAATGGGTCATGTTTATCTCAAAACAATGATTATTAGGGTAATCATCTACTTCTTTTTATGTTTATATGGAGTTTGGTTTTTTAATTTTTAGTAAATTATATATGCTATGATGTTGAACTCTTGACTACTTTATGTTGTTGATACAGGTTTATAGTGTAAACCTATGAAATTTCAGTCATATTGTGTTCCCTTTATATGCCCATTACATGTTTGTTAAAATGTTTGAATGGAGTTCTTCACATCTAAAATGTTTCTGTTCTTTCAACTTTGCTATTAATGTGATTTTATGAGATGAATTTATTGATTGGATTTCTTTTGTAAATTGTGATGTAAAAAGGGAGACTACGGAAAAGTAGATAGCTGGAACTATTGTCCATAAATTTATTTTCCTTCTTATGTAAAACAATTATGTTGTTATTATTCAAAACATTTTGTGTGTTCGTAGAAATTGTCCTTATGTTTATTTACATTGTTTGTGCGTGATTGAAACATTGCTTTTGTGTTCATTTATTGTCAATGTATAGAAAATAATTGTTTGTGTGTTCGTTTATACTGTATGTGCGTGCATGGTTAAAATATTTTCTGTGTATTCGTTTATATTGTCTGTGTGCTCGTTTATATTGTCTATGTATGGTCAATGTTTGTATTTGTGAATTTTGGATTCTCTTATTTTAACCATGTCCTTGAAAGATGGGAAATGCTTGTATTATTATGTCTTGAGTAAACATGTATTGTGTATAGGAAAAATTCACCCACCGAATTTAATTCATCCAAGACAAGATGATGGCGATGATGATCATTTCTATATTTGTTAGGTTTGATCAAGGCATGTGAATATGTGATAAAGCAAATTATGGCATGCAATAGATTCAGATAATCAAGAATGAGAGATTTGAAGGAAAGGATATCCGAATACTCCATTCTTGGAATTAGTTATTTTGTAAAGTTAATGCTCATGTATTGAAAATGATTGTGTAATTAGAGTTGGTGTTTTCAAAATGTATCTTTTGTATTAAGAATCTTTTGTAATTTGTAGGAAGAAAATGACTTCTGATTTTGTCAAAGAAAACACCAAAGTTGATTGAACCTAATTATTAGATTTGGAGAAAATTTATGAGTTCTATAGAAGTGTAGAAAATGTGTAATACTATTTCTTACATTTGCTTCCTTTTTATAACATTATAGAAACACACACAATTTTGTCACGAATAGACAATATAAATCACTACACAAACAAAATATATGACTATACAGACAAAATAATTAAACACACATATAACGTTTTTGTCTACGCACAGACAAATTAACGAACATAGACAATATAAACAAACAAACACACAATATTTTATTCACGCACAGACGATATAAACGGAGGCACAGACAATTACTTTCTCCCCATAGACAAAATAAACATATACAGAGACAATGTTTTCACCATGGACAAACAATGTAAACGACAATATAAACGAACACATAGACAATTATTTTCTACTCACAAACAAAATAAACGAACACACATGCAATGCTTCAACCATGCAATGACAATATAAAATGGAAAATAAACAATTCATAACCATGCGAAACAATGCTTCAATCAAGCACTGACAAAATAAACACAGAAACAATGCTTCAACGATGCTTAATGAAATATTAATAGAAACTCTATCCATAATAAATTCTAAGTACACCTTACTATATAAGTAAGTTAAAATCATCACTGAGTATGTAAACTACAAAAATTACATCCACCCATCATACTGGTATACTAATATACTTATAAAATTACTGGTATACTAATATACTTATAAAATTACTGGTATACTAATATACTTATAAAATTACTGCTTGTATAAATTTCATAAAATAATTGGATAGTTGTCAATTGTCATTAAACAAATCCAGATTCCTGCTTCATCTACTTTGTCTTTGCCTTTAGTTGTAAAATTGGGGCAGCAGCAACAACAACAGCAAATCCACACTCCTCTGGTATACTGCTTCAACATCTTTGTCTTTGCCTTTAATTGTAAGAGTGGGGGAGCAGCAGCAACACACCTAAGTATGGCAGCAGCAGCAACTGTGACAAGTTGATATTTCGTGTTCCACTGATGAAGAATCTGAGCAGTTTCTATAATTCTATAACACCATTTGACTCTACATATGGTAGTCGATAATTAACATGCCTCAAAATTCTTTTCATATAACTTATTGATTCTTAAAAATTCAAAAGAAAAAGAAAAAACTAGCACATGTAGTATAATAGCATCAGTATATCACAAAAACCTCTATGGACTCACACCCAACCTTAATTTCAAGGTCTTCAAGTAATCCAATGTGAAAGGGAAAAAAGTACTACACTTGATAATTGAAAAGAAAGAAAAATGATAATCCTAAAAAAGGGTCATATTTCATAAAATGGAGCTCGGTTTTCTTATAACTTTCTACCCAACAAATAATTTACTAACAAGTTCAACAACATAAGTTTAGTTGTTTAGCTTAAGCAGTTGAGCAAAAGGCCAATTTCAAAATATATACAGTGTTCCATAGTTTGTAACAAGTATAATCTTACCAAAATACTAAAAGTTATACCTTCACCAAACTAAGGATCTTTTTTAATTTGTGACCAAAGGGAGTAAATTGAAAGATTTGTTGACCTAAAAAGCTCAGTTCTAATGGGTTTAAATTCATTTAAACCTTTGCTCCAACACTAACAGTAAGATCAAGATACACATTTTTGCTGGGATATGCCTTATTACACTATAACTTTAACAAAATAAAACAACTACTCCCTCCGTCCCTAATTTATTTTCCAAATAGGTTTGGCACAGAGTTTAAGATAGTGGGTATTGTGTGGTGGAGAGTTGTGCAGAGGAGAGAGAAATGTGTAAGAATTGTTGTAAACCACAAATTCTTTGCCAAAAAGGGAAAGTGGAAGTTTTAATTGGGACGGACGAAAAAGAAAAGTTGGAAGTTTATTTAGGGACGGAGGGAGTATAACTAAAATTGCAACTTCAAGAAACATTAACTAAAACTTCATTCAAACATTTAAGCAAACATGTCATGTGCATAAAAAAGAAATAGAATAATTTGACTGAAATTTCAAGAATTAACAACACCTACCCATAACAATTTTAAAAAATAAACAAACATTCAACACCATAATAAAATAATGGAAAAATTCACATTAATAATCTTAACTATCACTAGTCTTCTTATATTAATCCCAAATATCAATAATTCCAATATAATCCAAACTTTAAAGCATGCCTTCTTATAACAAACGGGTGACCTACATGAACTTGTTCAGTAGGTTACCTGACTACGTGGCATGTTTTTATTGGTCCCATAATTTTTTCTTTTATTTTCGTTCCTATTTACCCCCCCCCCCCCCCCCGCACTCACGAAGTGCTTCTTCTTTTCTTTGTCCCCTGCGACCGCTTTTCTTTCTTCTTCCTCCTCCCCATCTTTTATTTTCATCTCTGTATCTCCTATCCTCCTTCATCGTCCTTTCCCAAAGCCGGCCCCTCCAATTCATTTTTAATTTCATTATTTCGGTTTCATCTTGGGAAGGCCAATGCATTAAATTTTCAGAAGGTACTCAGAAGTTTTTCCAAATCCCTAAATCTTCTACTTCACCTAAAATCCTTGAATATTTATTATTTTCTTCTTACTTTTCTCATCAAACCAACGTGCTCCTCAAGCCTCAATGACGATGGTTTCCGATTCCACCAAATCTTGTCAGAAACTGTTTGAGGTTTTCGAAAGTCAAATGGTACATAAAGAAGTAGAAGAGAAAATATGAAGTAAAAGAAAGAGCCTCAGGCGCAGCTTTTCAAAGTTTGATTTGGAGTAACCCAAAAAAAATCTTCTGGGGTTGAATTTGAAATAGTGAAATAAAAAGTTGAATTTGATGATGGCAAGGGAGTCTTCTACATGCAACTTTTGGGTAAGAAAATGAAAAAATTGCTTCCAGATGCAATGGAGGGAGAGAAATAAAGTGCAATGATGTCAAGAAAATAAGGGATGACCGGATGAAAATGACGGAGAACATATATGGCTTAGCTAGTGCAAATTACAATAGCAAAGAAGAAGCCAGGAAGGGATGGGGCCGTGGGGTATCAGGTCGCTTGAGATCAATATGAGAAGAGAAGCTCTCAATTTCGGATTATTTCAGAATAACACATAATTAGGATTAATAGGAGAAGACAGGTAATAGTTTGGATTATTGATGTGAATTTTTCCTAAAATAATTGAGTTCAACATAACGAGATACATACAATCTGAAAACGGAAAATAAATACTATGTATAATCGTAAAAACAAAAAAAAAAACTGAAATAAATCAATACCTCAACATTCAAAGCTTTGAGATTAAAAAGATTGCACTATGTATGAAGGAAAAAATCCCGTAATTTTCTAAAGGAGAGTTGAGCTTTGATGGTGTTGGTGGCGGAAAGAGCCAACTCTTTGCTGACCTAGGTCATCGAGTCATTTTCTTGAGAAAATATATAAGAATCTATGGAAGAAAGAACATGGAGATGAGTTCTGTAAAATTAAAACTTTAATATAATTATGGAGGGAGTGCAGAACAAAGAAAGAAAACGATTGAAAGAAGTGAAGAAATGGCGAAAGAAAAGAAGAAGAGGCGAGAGACATATATGCCGGAGAGAGAGGAGGGCTGAGGCGTTGAGTTGGAGAGGAGAGCAAACTCCAATAATTTTCCGGATATTCACTTTGGTGGAAGATTTTGAAAAAAAAAAAAGCAAAAGAGGTAGAAATGGCATAGAAGGAATGGGGGAGAAGGGAAATGCGTGGAAGAAGGGAGGACTGAGAGAGGAGAGATAAGTGGGAAGGAGTAATGGGTGAAAGTGAGGTATTTTTTTTGGGTATTTGTAGTGTGTACAGGGTGGGTACAATGGGTGGGTACAAAGAGCAAAATTGATCCAAAGAAGCGGCAAATTAAATAAATGATTGTTTGAAAAAAAAAACTGTCAAGTAGACTCTCATATTTCTCTAAATATAACACTTCAATCCTCTTATCATGAAAGAATGTCAAAAATAAGACTAACGGCTTTTGAATGGACAAAAATATGATTAAGTTTAAATTTGAACAAAAAGAAGATCAATTATATAGGGATGAACTGGAATACCCTCATATAAATATAACACAAAACTCTTATCTCCTCAAACTTTCCACGTCTTGGTTTTGCTACCTCTTAACAATCCGTCCACCTCAAACCTACAGCCTCCACCGTCTCTGCCTCAGCACCGACATTCATCACCTTTGTCATCTCTTCCATTCACAACATGTCCGACAATCGTCCCTCATCTCTATGGTCTTCTTCGCTAGTGTTGTCACTGCTCACCCACCACACCTGCCTTGCGTTGTGTTCACCTTCAAATCTTGACATCTCTTCTTCCTCCCATTCTTCTTCTCTTGTGGAATATATAAATGACACCTTAACTATTAGTATTGTTGCATTTTGGTACTAACTTTTTCATGAATCAAATCAGTATCATAATTAAACATAATTGTTTCTTCGCAATATTATTCAAATTTCTGGCCAAAAAAACATATGTATCAGCCATAATTCTATGCGCAAAGTCTACTTCACCTTACTTTTGTCCATGATATCGCTGTAGGGTGCACTCTACACATGAAATTTTGATCGTTGTGCACGATTTTTTGGCTTTCCATCATTTGCAATGGAGCCAAAGATTCACTATTTTTTGGCTTGGGAATATGATGGAATAAAGCAAACTGGTTCACTAAACTGTTTGTGTTTCTTTGTTGTGAAGCAAAAGTTAGTCCATGCAACTTTCGACACGATTTTCACTATGATTCATCCAGAATTAATTGGTCATGCTTTAGTACATGGATAAGACTGCGTAATCGGTCAAAGTTGAACAACTTTGACTTGAAAATTTGTGTTTGGCAAATTAAAAAGGGACAGAGGTAGTATAATTATAAGAGAACAATCATTCTATATTCTTTAGTTACACAAAATGAGCAAATGTTACAAAAAATACAAATTTCTTGGGTGTAATTTTAAATCCACATGTATGGTATGTTTTGCCAATATTACATAATTGATTCAATACAAGAAGCCATCAAGGGTAGTTTAGTGCTCCACCCATATTTGCCAAGCCACACACGTACCTTGCAAAGGGCACTAAATCAACTTGGGCCTCATGCTGAACGTTTCATAATAGAATTTCTTGTGAACACCTTACATCTAACAGCAGTATGTAGACCCCACTTCAATTAAACCTATTGTGAGCACTGAGCAGAATTGTGCATGTTAAACATACCAGAGTGTATCTTTGGGATACACCGTAAGGGCAAGGTAGGAGATCTTTATCTTTGGGGTTCAAATTATTAACTCTATACTCAATTCCTTTGTCCTGAAATAATATCGTGGTTTTGACTTGACAGTTGACACAAGGGATATGGTATTGAAAATGATGTGTGTGATTGAGCTTTGGGTAGAAACGAATGAAGCAATAGTGACCACACCTTTTTTTCTTAAAATGAAATAGGAAGATTATTTTGGGACTGATAAAAAGGAAATGAGAAAATTATTTTAGCATGGAGGTAGTATACATTTTATCTCTCTGTCCCTAAATTATATACATAATTTCCCTTTATAGTCCATCTCTCCATTTTAAGGAAAGCAATATTTTGTTCACAATACCTCTCTTCTCTAAGCAAATCCCAACCACTTTCCACTTTCTTAAACTTTGCACCCAGTCAAATTGAGCAATAATTTAGGAAGTGACAAGGGTGTCATTTTTTTAGGAACATTTTAGTCGTAGATACTTTTGTAAAGTGTATTTAAATACTCCTTCCCTTCCAGAGCTTTTAAAAGGCATATGTAAATAATGAAGAGCCAAATACCAACTTTAACTGATACTCCATACAAGTTTACAATGTATAATTTTCCAGATATAGACATAGAGGCACTCATAATAAGCAAATAAACACATCTATGAACAAGGAAACGTATCCTAACTTAATCCACTTCAAGTTGTCATGTAACATGACAATGAATTTGCTAACATTGTTCTTTGCTTACTGACAGGCCTTTCACTGCAGGGTTGAGATTTTGGAAGTTAATAAGAAGATAAACATTTACCAGTTAAAGAACAAGGGCATCAAGATTCCGCTTTCCGTCTGGACCCTTTGTGTACCACGATGACACATAGTCGCCATACATCACTTCCCGGTATTTCGGTGGATGAAATGCAGGGGAAACCTTTCTCGTCTTTGCAGGGTCATGGAATGTTGCGATTGAAAACCGGGGTCGTTCAGCATTTGTTACAGCACGGTGTATAGAACTTCTGTACTCTCCATTGGTTATGATCTGTAACGTCAAATGTGCAGTCAACATTGTTCTCTAAATAACAGTTGAGAAAGGATCAACTTTAAAATTTTCATACAAATTCAGACTAAATTGGAATTTATTAAAAACAATAGAGGTAGACAGGTAGTGGTTTAAGTTTTCCAAATGTACTGAGTCATGCAGTCATGCTTACTCAACATAAAATAACTCAACTACAGGGCTCCTTTCATATTCTTGTGCTAATTGGAGATCACAATGGAAGCCCTGTAACAAAATCCACCCCTTTCCCAAGATCACATAGTAAAAGAAGTGGCCGTTTGGTACCGACTTTTTTTGGCTCATAAGCTTAATCAGTCATTTTTTTATCATGCACTAATTTATTGCTGTGCATGCTGCATTGGTTAATAATGGAAAAAGTAGGGCGAGGTACATTAACTAAAGTTGCTGAACACGATCATCTTAGCAATTTTCTCAAGGGCTACAGTGGTGCACTGCTGCAAATGGCAAACAGCATTCGTCATATACCACTTTTGACATTTGGAAAGGCATGACCACAAAGAATAGGCTTGGCAATAAAATGAACTGTGGTTGTGACATTTTAGCGCCACACCATCCCCATAATTACTTCATTTGGTGCATGATCTGACAAGCCCATTAGTAAAGTAATGCTTAATGTGCGAAGGCAGAAACTAGTGACACTGTGAAACTGACAAAGAACCATAGGCCCATTGCAGTGTGACACTCGATAGACGTCATAACTTCAACCTGCACGGCTCACTGGAAACTTTTCTTGCGCCTCCGTTGTTAACAACACCCAAGTCAAAGTCAAGGTATGCCTTCATTTTCAGTTTTTAGTTTGAGCTTCAATCAGGCCTGCACTGTTTCTCCTTTGGTAAAGAACGACCTAGGAAGACTTTTCGAGGATTTGGACTTTATGTTTCCATTATTGACTAAATGATTTTTGTTATTATGTTAGTCTTGGCACTAATTGAGAATTTGCCTAGTTGTGTTTTGGCTAGAATTTGGTAAATTGATTCTTTTCCTCACTTATTGGAGGTTGAATCATATAAATACATATTGTCTATAGTCTATACTTCATATTAGACTATTAGTACTTGACTACTTGTCTACTTGTTACTTTTCAAGTCATGTGGCGATGCCATAAATGCACCGTTGCCATGGGCTGCACGGCAAACCGGCTCATAACCAAACACTATGGTAACTATGAATTTTCAAATATATGGTTTTCTTTATTTTATCATTAAAAATATGTTCTAAATGTTTATATCATAATTCATAAACTTCAGCAACTTCATTAGAACCAGCAGCAACTTCAGCAAAATTGCCCTTGCGAAAAAATTCAGCAAAATATTGATGATCAATGGTGCATTATTGCAGCAACCATTGCCAAGTACCAGTTAGCTTGAAATCTAGTTCTAGTAAAAAATTACTAGAGTATGCATCTAAAATTATTTAACAATAGGACAAAGAGAAAGCACACGCTCAATTGTGGTGAAATTGTTATGGACATACCAATGTATGTGTCCAATTGGTCATACAGAAATCAAATATATAATAAAGGTTTGAAAGGTTGAATAGTGCTTTTTCTCCAAATATTCTGAATTTTTTATTACGCAAAATGACAACCTGACCTTGAGTCCTTATGCCCAAATGACAGATGAGTGGTAAAACCTTAAATCGAAACAAGGCCAGATATTGGAACGTTGGAACACTTCTGAACCTTTTAACTTGCCATAAATAAGATGTATCGTAGTTATTGACTGCCAATGAACATTACACATGAACACTTTTTACACTGATATATATTAGGAGAAATGCATGAAGTGTTTTTTCTCAACAGTCCAACAATTCCTATGAAGCTTTGTCACTAATGCTTAAGCTCCTTCCACCATAGTTTCTCCAGTAAAACATCAGGGAGACAACTAAGATAAGAAATTACATTCAGCTCAGCAAAATACAATGTGGAACTTCCTTAAGCACAAAAATAAAAAAATAAAAAAATAAAAAAAGTAAAGAAAGAAGCTAGAGTTCCAAAAAAACATAATTATTATTATTATAAGAAAATTAGTCTGCAGTGAGTTGAAATACCTCAGTTTGGTCAGCCAAGATGACAAGTATAGCATCAGACAGTGGATTTACAGTTATCCAATTTCCATCCCTAAGAACTTGAAGCCCAGCAACATCATCTTGGATGAGAAGAGTAATGGCGCCCATATCTGAGTGTGATTGCAAACCAAGAGTAAGCTCCGGTTGTGGGCAGGGAGGGTAGTAACTGAAAGTAATGTTTTGATGCAATTCCCCAACTGCATCTTTGACGCAAGAACAAGGCAGGCCTAGACTCTTGGAGATCAACTCCAGAAGTCTCTCAGCTAGGACTTTCATACAATCCGCATACTGTTCAACAACTCCTCTGATAAAACTTATAATTGTTAGGCAGATGATTTATTCCAAAACAAGTTCTTATGTGATTGTTGAAAAACATTTCAAAACGCATTGAATCCAAGAATAGGGATACCCTACTTTTAAGCAGAGGAATAAGGCGCCTATGAATAAAGCTGTAGCTATCAAAATTAGTCCTTCTATCAATTCTCCCAACAATTACAATAAGAAATTCAAATTTCAGGTAATTTCATGTGCTTTTTCAGCAATGAACGATATGATTTGCAGGTATTGGGTCAGTCTCTGAATGGCCAAATTTATTAGAAATCATACCTGTAATCGGAAGGAAAGTGGGGCCAGCGAGATGGATTGCGGCGAGATAGAGGAAACGTGTGGTGATCAAAGTAATCCCGCCAGTCCAAAACGGTGTCGCTAGGGGTAACCAACATTCGGCTGCCATAGCCCTCAGAAGCAGGAGATTTGGGATCGCAGGAGTACCTCATCTTCTCTTGCATGGGATAGTCCTGGAAGAAAGAACGGCCGACGCGCCTAGCATCATCAAGCAATTCGACAGGGACTCCATGGTTTACAACGTGAAAGGCTCCCCATTCTTTGCAAACCTGCCGGACTTCGCCCAGGAGGAGCTCAGTCGGCGAGCTAAGGTTGATCGTCGGCACTGGATGCACGGAGTCATCGGCGTTGACTCGAGGCCTGTTACAGGGTGGCTGAACGTATACCGGCGGCACAAAGGCTTCACCTTTTTGAGCTAATGATTGAACTCTTTCAGTTTGATTCGCATCCGCCATTCGTAGATTACTGCCGGTGTCAGCAGTTTGGGATTCAGTTCTGCTAACAGACTGTTCAGCCTTTGGATAAGGATCCTCTGCCAGTCTGCTCGTGTGACTACAAACGGCGTCGTTTCAACTGTGGGTTTGTGTGGCACATTGGCAATACTCACATGGGTTTTGGATCTGCTTTTTAAAATATTGTAGTGCTTAAATGAAAGTGAAATTGTTCCTAAAATCAGTGCTCAAAACTGTGGGTTTATTAGAGCTCAAAATTGCTCCTAAAATCATTTATAGAAGTCGGAGGAGACAATTTTCTCAAAAAATGATTCTAATTCTACTTCCTACTTTTAAAATAGAAGCATAAACAGAACCAAATTCAAACACCTCCGAGATTGTTCCGAAGCTTTGTTGCGACCGAAAGGTTTGGAGTAGATTCTTGAAAAGTTAAAATTAGTCCATTAAAGTTGGGATCACAATGATGAAAAAGTGATAAAAATACATAATACTTCGTCGTGAAAATCAGTTCTCACTTTCCTTTATGGATGTTCCAAAAAAATCTCATTTCTATAAAAGGAAACAACTTTTAACCCAAAAGTCACCACTATCTTTATTTTTTTATCCATTTTTTGCTTGATTTGACATAAAGTAAGCATATATTTGGAAAGTCAAAATAAAATTCTACTTACATAAATATGTGTGTGGGTCAAATCGAGAACTTCGTTTCGGGACGAAGGGAATACTCCCTCCGTATTTAAAAGATGGCTACGTTTGATTATGGCACAAGATTTAAAAAAGAATAGTAAAGGTAATCAATACTCCCTCCGTTCTTTAATAAAAGTCATTCTTTCCTTTTTGAGACGTTTTTTTATTTGTCCTCCTTTCCATTTAAGGAAAGTTTTTACTTTAAATATACCTTTATATCCTCACTCTTATTACCATTACCCCTTTCTCTTTCCTACTTTTTCATTTACCCACTACTCATTACACTTTTTACACTACCCCTACTATTTTCCTCTTAAAACCCGTGCCAAAGCCTAAGAGGACAGATAATAAAGAACGGAGGGAGTAGTATAGAAAAAGTAGGAGAGAATGTATAAAGTAGGAAAGAGGGAATAAAAATTAGAAAAAGTAAGGGTAACTGAGTATTTTTAAAGGAAAAACTTAACAAAAAGGGAAAATGTAGGAAACTTTTAGATACATCCCATAAAGGAAAGTGTAGAGAACTTTTAAATACGGAGGGAGTACTATATATACTTTAATGTTAACAAAAAATGTATTTCGTGTCATGGAAAAGTGATAAAAAAATTACCAAATATAGAAAGTAAAATACATGTTATTCACTTCCATCACGACGAGAAGTCCAAGTAAAAGTGAGCTGATTTATGGGTGCTTGGATTTGATTTTTAAAACTGCTTCTGCCCTTTCAGGGAGCAGAAGCAGAAGTTGGAGTGTTTGGGTGAAAGTGTAGAAGTGATTTTGATGCTCTAATTTACTCTTAGAATCGGTTTTTTTAGAAGCTGGGGGAGACCAGCTTCTCAAAACTGATTCTGATTTTCCTTCTGCTTTAAAAAAGAAGCAGAAGCAGAATTAGTTCCAAACACCCTCCTTAGTGTGAAAGAGTACAAAATAATTAAGAGTTGTATTTGGGATGAAGGAATTCTTTTAGTGATGTTCTATTTTAACTCACAATTATATTTGTTACTCCGTATTAAGTGCATCTACGTTTGTTTGTTTGGGGAGTTAACCTAGGTTATTGCAAGTTCAATTTTTAGTTAACCTCGTTTGTTTGTATTTTTGAAACAAGAACCTAGGTTATTAATAAATTTGGGTTAACCTCACATAACGCTCGAGAACCCGGAAAAACAAAAATTAAGAACCTCCGAATTGGGGAGGTTTGGAGTTTTTGCCCATCCAATCCACATAGCGGGTTTGGGATAGGTGAAAAACCATATGGGTCGTGGCTGAGAGCTGATATGAGGCGTGGAGGAATGCATCCGGGGAACATATGGGTCATTCCTAGCAGTAATAAACAAGGCGACATGCAGGGGAAAAGTGTGGAAGATGATAAGGAGATAAGGGGCCAGGATAGTTATTTGGTGGAGGGTCTTTTGTCGAAGGGAAAGGAGACTGATACAACTAGAGATGCACCTAGAAAGCGTCGGGCCACTGAGACTGATAACGAGGTGGGGACTCAGGTGAACATGGAAGTTGACGACGTGTCTTCAAAAAACTCGGAGATGGCGGTGCTGCCTGGGCAGCACCGCCAGTAGCGGAAATCGGCAAGGCCTTGAAGATTGTTCAATTAGCGGGGGATGGTCAATCGCTACTCCCTTGCCAGTGGCTGGTCAAACTGGATTATGTTATTTTCCTGTTTTTCCTATTCAGAACATTGTTTTGTCTTTTATTTCCCCTTTTAGTAGCAGGTGCAGCATTGCTGCGTATGGAGTCTACCACGTTGTGGGGTTAGCGAGATGGTCCTTAGTTTTATCAATGATTAAGTTATCTGTTTTAAAAGAGTTCTCTTATCACATAAAATAAGCTAGAGTATCTTTATCCAAACAACATTTATTACATTAACATAGGTTCACCTTATTTATTTCCAAACAATATTTTACGCATGAACCTAGGTTCACTTAGGTTAGCCTAATTTTTATTAAGGGGGTGTTTGGCAATCGGCCGTTGTCGTTGGCTGTTGATTGATTGTGTCGGCTGTTTTATGATAGCGGTTTCTGTTGGCTCTTTTGATTAGCTGATATTATTAGCAGTTTGTAAAATGGTGTTTGGTTAAAATGATTGTTTGCAATCAGCTGATAATTTGTCAAATGACCTTTAAGGACACCAATTGATTTTTTTCGCGCACTTTTATGTATACACGTAAGACACTTTTATATGTGTGTGTATCATAAACTATTGATGTTATTAGTATCACTACTTAAACCATTTTCATGAATTAAAAAATAAAAACTTAATAAGGGCATCGATTATTTTTCAGTTTCAATTATTATTATTATCATTATTAATAATATTATTATTATTATATTTATTGTTATTAAGAATATTATTATTACTACTACTCGGTATTATTATTTTGGCATAAAAAGGTAAATGGTATATTTTAATTAACACACAAAACATGAACATTCTTCAGATGATTTTCCCTCTTACAAGAGTAATTGAAGCTAAATTGAAATAAAAGTTAGAAAACAATATGAATATTTTATTAAATCCATGCTTGCTTCCTGGCCCTTGCATTGTTGTTTTTCTCTTTGGTGGAAAGTTGAATATAGTGGGGTTGTTTCTCTTTGATGTGTGGGAGACTAGGAGGATGTAGAAACAGATAGTAAGGGCGTGGAGTGAGCGGGTAGTAAAGGAAAAACAAGGAAAAGCCATAAGGAAACGCTACATTTCATGGCATTTTGTATTTTGGTTGTTTGAAGTAAAAAGTCAAATGAAAATGACATTTAACCAAACACTTTCTTTAGATGATTGCCTGATTGATCCGGTCAAAAGGCAAATATTAGTCAAATCATCCAAAAATTGGTTTATAGGCTCCTAACCAAACACCCACTAAAATTTAGATTTACTTTATTGCACTAGATTTACTTAAGTTTACTTTATCAAAATAGAGCACTAAGGAAACAATTTTTTAAATGAATAGAAACTTCACATGATTCACATCCAATTCAAGTTTGCTAAGACATGCATCTCTTTACTACCAGTTTATCTTATGAAGTACTTCTCACCCCACTCATTTTAGTCCATATCAAAAATCTTGTAGGATATCCACAACCGTCAGTATGAGCTCCATTTACGTTGGTGATCTAGCGATTTGGTTGGGAGTGGAGGGCGGACTTGTGAATCCGCATGAATGTGGACGTTGGAATCACTTGAAAGTCGCCTGAATTCGCACCCCAAGTCCATAAAGGAGGTGAGATATTATGGACAGATTTCAAATATTGAAATACCAACTTTCTATTTCATGTGTGATTGTGTGGAGTGATAGTCCATGCAGATAAGTTTTGTCATTGTGGAGGTTGGTTGGAGTCGAGGGGAGACAATTTCTAGTGTGGGGGTTGCTGTCCGAGGACCGAGAGCAAGACATACCGGACACGGTGGGGGTGGTTCAGGACCTACACAGCGACATGCACATATGCAGGGGGGTCTGTTATAGTCTTATGGAAGGGCTAAAGACAGGATGGGGTGAATCGGCCAATAGGCTGTGGTTGTACATGGGCACAAAGTGTCACTAGCATGTAGGGAGGAAGCGCAATGGTAAAGGGTGGAAGCCGATAATACTTTTGGACAAGGGCAATGAGACGATGGAGGTGCAACGAGCGAGGCTGATATAATAATAATCACTTAATGCCCAAATTCTCAAATTATCACAACACTTGCACTTGATAAAGTCTTGCATAAATTGATATACTCTACACTTTGTTTGACAAAATACATATTCTTTTCTAAAAAATACTCTTTTTAGCATCATATGAAACCAAGGGGGTGCATTCATTTTAGACATTGTATGACATTTTGAAATTTGTATAAATATGGGATTTGAGGAGATTTGTGTGAATTTACACAGAAGACATTCTGGGATTTGTATAAATATAGGAAAGAAATTTGTGGACTTCATTTATATAATAACTTACTCCCTTAAAAATAAATTCATTAGTGAAAAATAAATAAACTGGCAACATTCCACAAGAAGTACTTTACTTCTAACTTTACTTTTGCCGCAAACCCAAAAAAAATGAAAGTTAAACATATTAAATTACCTCTATTGAGAACGATAGTCCTAGCAATTAATGGCAAACAAAAAACATAAAGATGATTACAGGTTGGAAATGTAAAAAATGTATTACATGCTCCAGAAATATTTACTCCCACTGCCTAAAATACCTCTTCGAGCAACCATCTGGACTGTCAATTTCATTGTGGGGAAGGGAAATACAAACCTAACAAAAATGAAGCATAGAATAGATTGCGTATAGTACAGCTGCAGTTTTTGAACAAATGAAAATAACACTTTCAGCAAATGCCGTTCTTCAGTTCTTGACTTCCCAGGCGTTCTTCCCGTCTTCCATCAGATTCCAAATCTCACGTTGGAAGGTGAGATTTGAGATATGGGATTTCTGTTATATTTGGGCTTTTAAGTCTAGATAAGATCAGATTTTAAATAGAATCCATGTCTTGTGTCCACTAATACCCC